TCTCCCCCTCCGACTTACTCCCCTTCATTCTTCCCCTCCTGCTATCTTCTTCTTCTTCTTCTTTTTTTTCTTAACATATATTTTTATGCTGCCTTTTTAAAAACATGTCCTCACTCCCTAGAATTGCACCAGATTCATCAAATGTCCCCTGAGGAAAACCAGCTATGTATTTATGTCCCCTCAAATTTCTAGTACTGAACAACTGCTATAAGCTTTGATGCTTCCTATTTCCCTAGCAGATATCCTCTGTCTCAGTCTGTGCCCAGACTCAGGAAATAGCCTCTAACATAAAATTAGCCAGTTGTACTCACCTCATCTCAGAACATTCTGTCTCTCTCTGAAACTTTAATTTATGTAGTTTTTGTTGCTTTTGCAACTCTTTGATGCCTTTCATGATTTAAAAATTTATTTATTTATTTATTTATTTTTAAGTGATAATTGCAGCAGGCACATTGCTTGGTGCAACCCACTATATTCTATGTGGATAGAGAGATTTGTTTATTTTATTTCCAAAGAGACTCATGTCAAGAAATATTAGTTTGGTTAAAACACTTAGTGGTATTTATAGGTGACACATTCTTCTAATATGTCCACTTTGAAACCCTGTTGCTACTATCTGGATTCAAGTAACCATTATCTCTGACCTGGGGTGCTAAAATAGCCTTTTACTCTGAAAAACAAACTGAGGGTTCTAGAGGGGAGGGGGGTGGGGGGATGGGTTAGCCTGGTGATGTGTATTAAAGAGGGCACATTCTGCGTGGAGCACTGGGTTTTATGCACAAACAATGAATCATGGAACACTACATCAAAAACTAATGATGTAATATATGGTGATTAACATAACAATAAAAAATTTTTAAAAAATTTAAAATAGCCTTTTAATGATTTCTCTGCCTTCCTCATTTTTAATGCTAGTGTGTTCTCCTTTAATCTGAATTACTGTCCTAAAAATGAAATGTGAACCTGCAATTCCCTTTAAAACCATTTAGAGATGTTTTGCTGAGGATGAAGATGGCCTTCGTAACACACCTTATAAGATCTTGCCTGACCAGGCCTCCGCCTGACTCTCTCATCCCAGCCCTTGCATTCTCTCCCTCAACAATATGTGATAGTCATGCTGAACTTCTTCAAATTTCCTGAGTATGCCATGTTATCTTTAATTCTTAAATCTTTGCACATATTATTTAGTTTGCTGAGAACACCATTTTCTTTCCATCTATCCTTTTCATCCAGTTGCCTCACAGAGATCCAAGATCCAAGACACAGTCGTCAAATGTGGCTGGGAGTGGCTAGGAAAGTAAGGAGGTAGTGACTGCGCTGTGTTTACAGACTATGATTAGATTTCATCATTAAGTGACGAGTGATGTGTGGAAATAAGTCACGGTTACTTTTCCTAAATGTAGCAGAGATAAATTATGGGACTCAATTATTAAATAAGTTGATCAACAAAGAACATTTCTTTTCCTGTTTTCAGGATGATCTTTCTGAAGCAATAATTGGACTATACAGAAAAATAGGTTATCATGCTTAAGTACTTCAGAAGGCAAATACTTCAGGAGTGAAAATAATGAAGTCAAAGAAGGGAGAAATCTTCTAGACTGTGGTAACTAGGGCAGCATTCCTGGTGGGACTAGGGCATGAGCTGTTTCCTCTGTGGCCTGTCCCCCTACCTAAAGATGGCTACCTAAAGATAATTAAGAAGTCCCTGCTTTAGACATCTTAGGGGATTTATCCCAGGGAGGTTTGGAATTTACTTTGTTTGTTATTAATGTTTCCCCCCCACCCTGCAAGGCATAGGTTCCACTGGGACCCAATGTCCCCCAGGCCCAGGAAGACAGAATGAGAGAAGTGAGAAGGGTTGGTGTAGACTCAGATGATAACTACAGAGTCTGAGTCTCCATGAGCTTATAATGAATAAAAGAGTGAGGGGTCCTGGGCAAAAGCCCTGGTCACCTTGAGACATACTTGGTAAGTTAGGCTGGAGGGTACATGCCTCAGGCTTCTTCTAACCTTAGCATTCAGGTTACTGAGGTTTTATGATGTGACTCTCTGGGATTGTTTTTCAGGCAGTCTAATTTTAAAAAATGCTCAACATTCTAGAAATAGCTTCATTAGTGTCACCAGATTCAATATCTATTTAAAATAGTATTTGTAAGTATTTCACAACAGAGTACTTTATGTTTTTCAAAGAGATTTCTCAAAAGAGATTTCAGTTTACAGTAGCTTTGGGAGATAGACAGGGACAAGCCAGTCTGGCATTTTAAAGCTGAAGCAGGTAAGATGTAAAGAAATGAAAGGAGTAGGTAAAGTTCAGATGGCTCCTCAATGGCAGCATTTTTAAGTGATATCTGACTGTTTTGGGCTCTCAGTCAGGTATTTTATACAATAGATGGATCCCACTTATTTTCCAGAAAAGGAAATTCCTGAGGAGTCAGAGATGGATCCTTCCCCCAGTAATACATAGTAACAGATCTTTCTTTCCTCTGTCCAAGTGTGAAAACACATGCATATGCCTGGTTTAAGCCCCAAGATCTTGGTGAATGTCCTGCAATGAGTTCATTCCTCTCCAGGGTTAGGAGATATTTTTCTCATCCTGAAATGCTCTTGTTTTTTGTCAGTCCTGACTCACATTGTGGGAAGGGCATCTGGAGGAGACCAGAAACTAGATCCAAGAGATCAGAAATTATCCTCATTCCTTTTTTTTCCCATGATCTCTCAATTTCCACATCTGTCTCATTTCTTCCCACATCAATATTGATATTGTGTGGGGTAAATCTTAAGGAAAAAATGATAGCACTGGAGTCTGGGTAGATTAGTGTAAGACATAAAGCAGGATACCTTGAGATGGGGTAGTATGCTGACCCAAGGAGAGAAATTCTGGACAGTCTGCAGTGCAGTATCTGGAAATCAATACAACAGATTTAGATAAGGGAGCTCAGATTTGGAAAGGCTCAGTGTCAGTGGATGTTTCAACCTCCAAAATTTTTGGTGTCTGTTGAAACAAATAGGAAATCCCTTGGGTGGCATACATTTTCTTTCCTTTCCTCTTCCTTCCTTCCTTTTTCTTTCTTTCTTCTTTCTTTCTTTCTTTCTTCTTTTTCTTTCTTTCCTTCTTTCTTTCTTTCTTTCTTTCTTCTTTCTTTCTTTCTTCTTTCTTTCTTTCTTCTTTCTTTCTTTCTTTCTTCTTTCTCTTTCTTTCTCCACACTTTGGTCTAGATTTTAGGCTTCAGCAATGAACAAGATAGAATATTTCCCTTTCCTTAAAATCTAGTAAAGAGCAAATAATCCCTATTTAATGGTCTGGGTGAATTCCTAGGAGACAGGACGGAATGAGATGCAGACAGCATGTGTCAGGTAATGGAAGACATGATGTGATATGGTGGGTGACAACAGGATACCTTTGAGAAAATCAGAAATAATTGGTATGCCTGAAGTGGAGAGAGAATTAGACATGAGCTAATTGATCTGATGAAGTAAAAGGGTTTTGCGGGTCTTGTTAACCATTTTGGACTTTATGTTAATGGAAAGAGGAATTTCTTCAATTAGAATAGTGGCACAAGCAAGTTTGAGTTATAAAAAGAACAATTCTGGATAATGTCAATGGGATGGAAGGCTGTGAAAGTAAATGTGAAGAGACCAGATTTGTTGTGATGGTTCAGGTGAGAAAAGTTGAGTGACCTGAATGATGGCTGTGGGATGGGTAGCAGGGCCTATATGAAAAGTGAGCAAAAAGGGAGACTGGTAACATACAGTAAATGAGTGACAAGTATGAAGAGAGGAAGGAGTCAAGGATGGCTCTCAGTCTGGCTTGAGTACCTTGTAGGTGGTACTGCCAGTCACTGAGTTAGAGCTACTGGGAGTGGAACATCTACAGGGCAAGGAAGACAAGAAACTAAATTTCAGAAAGATTGGCTTCAGAGTGAGTGTGAGACACACAGGGTCATCAGAGAGCTGAACACCCAGGTCTGTAGTTCAGACGAGCTATGTGGGCTGAATAAATACATTTGGGATTCATCGTTATATTTAGGGTAAGCATAGAAGGACAATATTCTGAGGACCACCAATATTTAAATGATGACCGGGCAAGGGGAGCTCTCTAAGGACTCGGTGAAGGCATTGCAAGGCAGGCAGGAAAAAACATGAAGCTGAGGTATCACCACTACCAAGAGACAGGAGAGTTTTACAAAGGAAGAAGTGATCATTGGTGTTAAATGTGCTGTCATCTGATTTAGAGACTCGGATATCATTGGAGATTTTGATGAGGTAGTTTTAATAGAGCCAGCTGCCACCTGTGCCTAAATTCTCACTCATCCACCTTTGACAACAGGGCACATGCAATAGACATATATTTATTTCTTATACTTGGATTTTAAGGTCTGTATTTTCTTCATAAATATGATAGAGTCACAGAATGACAGAGAGGAACCAAACTGTTGTCTCAGATTTCCTCCTTCTGGGTCTGCCCATCAAGCCAGAGCAGTGGAATCTGTTCTATGTCCTGTTCCTGGCCATGTATGTTACCACCGTCCTGGGGAACCTTCTCATCATTGTCCTCATTCGCCTGGACTCCCACCTCCACATGCCCATGTATTTGTTTCTCAGCAATTTATCCTTCTCTGACCTGTGCTTCTCCTCTGTCACAATGCCCAAATTGCTGCAGAACATGCAGAGCCAAGTCCCATCCATCCCCTATGCTGGCTGCCTGACCCAGATGTACTTCTTCTTGCTTTTTGGAGACCTGGAGAGCTTCCTCCTGGTGGCCATGGCCTATGACCGCTATGTGGCCATCTGCTTCCCTCTGCACTACACCACCATCATGAGCCCCAAGCTCTGTCTCTCCCTGGTGGTGCTTTCCTGGGTGCTGACCATGTTCCATGCTATGTTACACACTCTGCTCATGGCCAGATTGTGGTTTTGTGCAGACCACACAATCCCCCACTTTTTCTGTGATATGTCTGCTCTGCTGAAGCTGGCCTGCTCTGACACTCGAGTTAATGAGTTGGTGATATTTATCATGGGAGGGCTCATTCTTGTCATCCCCTTCCTCCTCATCATCATGTCTTATGCACGGATTGTGTCCTCCATCCTGAAGGTCCCTTCTGCCAGGGGCATCTGCAAGACCTTCTCCACCTGTGGCTCCCACCTCTCTGTGGTGTCTCTCTTCTATGGGACAATTATTGGTCTCTACTTGTGCCCATCAACTAATAATTCTACTGTTAAGGAGACTGTCATGGCTATGATGTACACTGTGGTCACCCCCATGCTGAACCCCTTCATCTACAGCCTGAGGAACAGAGACATGAAGGGAGCCCTGGGAAGAGTCTTTTGGAAAAAGAAAGAACCTTTCTCTCTAAAATGGTAACAATTGAGATTTTTACATTATTTAATTCAGTGGGTATAGTAATGTTGATAATGGGGTATTACTCTAAATCAGTGGCTTTTTCCCTTCAATTTTAAAGCCATCAAACTTTTTGTTCAAATAAAACCCCATGCTAAAGGCAAATATGCAACTGTGATGATGACTTAGCTATTCTGAGGTAGAGTTGAGGGTGGGAAACCAGTCTGCTCTGAATCCTTATTTCCCTCTTGCCAGGTGGAATTGAAGTTTGAAAATAAGATTTATATTCCTTTGTGCAAAATACTTTATTCCTTTCAATTTAGGAATTTTCTTCTTCTTCTTTCTTCTTCTTCTTCTTCTTCTTCTTCTTCTTCTTCTTCTTCTTCTTCTTCTTCTTCTTCTTTTTCTTCTTCTTTAAAGATTTATCTATCCACTTTAGAGAGAGAGAGAGAGAAAGACTGAGAGCAGGGGCAATGGTTGAGGGAGAGAGAATATCCTGAAGTCATTTCCCTGCTGAATGCAGAGCCCCAACCCAGGTTTTGATTCCATGACCCTGAGATCATGACCCCAGCCTAAATCAAGAGTTGGCCGCTCAATTGTCTGAGCCACACAGGCACCCATAGGAATTATCTTCTTTTTTTTTTT